TTGATAGTACTTTTCGAAGTCCGGTAGTGCCAGTCCCCCACGGAGTTTGGGCAGGATTAGTTGGGCATGTGCTACTCGGGGGGACTTGCCCTTCCATATGAATTTGCGGACTTCCGTTTTCAGTGCCGTGAAAAATGATGGTGGGGCTGTTATTGGAACTGTTTGAAATATGAACAATAGTTTGGGGAGAAGCGTCATTTTGACCGCGTTTACCCTTCCTAGCCATGATATGTAGTAGGAGTTCCAGTTGTGTAGTTCCTCCGTCGCCTTTTTTAGTATTGGGAGGTAGTTTTGCGCATATAGGTCCGCTGGGTTGGGCGTGAGCCAGACCCCCAGGTATCGCATTCTGTGGTCGCACCAGCGGTATGGATGTTGTCTCTGGATCGTTGTTCTCAGCGCGTGGTTGACTGTTAGGTTTAGGATCTCCGACTTCGAGTGGTTGATTTGGAGGTTTGAAAGTTGGCCGTATACTTCGAATTCTGTCTGTATGGCCTGGAGGGAGGTCTCAGGGTTCGTGACCACAAACAATAGGTCGTCCGCGTATGCCAGGATTTTGTGGTGCATGTTTCCGATCCTGATTCCTTGTATGTCTGCGTTCTGTCGGATCTTATTGAGGAAGGGCTCTAGCGTCATTGCAAATAGTAAGGGTGAGAGCGGGCATCCTTGCCTGGTTCCGTTGAGGATGTGGAACGGGTCTGATAGTGCACCGTTGATCCTGATCCGCGCTGTCGGGTTCGTGTAGAGCGCCGTCACCCAGTTGAGGTATCTCGCCCCTATGCCGAATTGTCGCAGTGTTTCAAACATCGTGTCCCAGTCTACTCTGTCGAACGCTTTTTCCGCGTCTGTTGACAGGAGTAGTACCGGTGTCTTTTGCGTTTTGGCGTGGGCTATGATGTTCAGGGCCCGGATGGTGTTGTCCCTCACTTCCCTGCCTGGGATGAATCCTGTTTGGTCTGGGTGGATTGACGCGGGGAGCAGTGGCGCCAGTCTGGTCGCGAGGATGCTTGCGAGGAGCTTGAGGTCCGTGTTTAACACAGATATCGGGCGGTAGCTGGGGCACAGTGTTGGGTCCTTCCCTTCCTTCGGGAGTAGGGTGATGTTGGCTGAGGTGAATTGGGCCGTCGGTGTGGCCCCATCTTGGATGGAATTAAGTGCCGCCAGGAGTTTCGGTGTCGTAACGTGTGTTAATGTTTTGTAATACTGGAGGGGAAGGCCGTCCGGTCCTGGTGCTCTGCCTGTTTTCGCTCTTTTGATGGCGTACGCTATTTCTTCTGGTGTTATAGGTGCTTCTAATGCTTCTCGTGCTATGTCACCTATGTCGGGCACGTTCGCGGAGTCCAGGTATACCCTGATATTTTCAATGATGTTTGTCCGTGGGGCTCCTGGGCTGCTTGGCGGAGGTTATATAGGTTCTGGTAATAGGCTCGGAATGCTGCGGATATGTGGTCTGGCCGGTGTTTGAGTTGCTGTCTTGCGTCCTTGATCTTTGGGATGTAGAGTTGGGTCCTGCGTTGTTTGAGGAGGTTTGCTAGTAGCCTCCCGCATTTGTCCCCGTGTTCATGTATCATGTGTTTGTAGTGTTGGTATGAGCGTTGTATTGAGCGATTGAGATGTGTGGTGAGTTGACCTCTTTTGGTTACCAGGTCCCCATACGTTGTCGCGTCCAGGGTGCGTTTATGTCTAGCCTCCAGGGCTGCTATGTCGCGGCTGAGGTCGAGGATCGCTTGTATCGCTGTCTTCTTGCGGGATGCGCTGATTGCGATAATCTGGCCTCGGATCACAGTTTTGTGCGCCTCCCAACATGTCAGTGGCGTCACGTCGTCGGTTTCGTTTTCCTCGAAGTATGTTCGTATGGAGTCGCTGATTTTATCTACCACTGTCGTGTCAGATAGGAGCGATTCGTTCAGCCGCCACGACATTTGTTTGGGTCTAAACAGCGGCGACTTCATCCGTATGCGGATCGGGCAATGGTCCGACCATGTCATCGGTAGGATCTCTGCGGTGGTGAGCAGGGTCAAGTTTTGATGTGGTGTGAGGAAGTAGTCGAGCCTTGTGTATGTTGCGTGGGTCCTTGAGTAGAAGGTGTAGTCGCGGTCCGTTGGGTGCAAAGCCCGCCAGCAGTCCGCCAATTGGTGGTGGTGGAGGAGGCGCAGTGTATTCGCGTGTCTGTTGTGTGGGGTTGCGCCTTGCGGGGAAGTGGAATCTTGGTCCGGGTGTAGTGCCAGATTCAGATCTCCACCGATTATTAGGGTGCCTTCTGTGAATTTCATCAAGGTGTTCAGTGCGCGTCCAAGGAATTGGTGTTGTTTTGTGTTCGGGGCATACACGTTGGCGAATGTGTATGTTTGGTCCAGGATTGTGCCTTTGGTGAAAATGTATCTACCTTGTTCGCACCTGATGGTGGCTTTCTCCGCGTAGGGGAGAAGTCTGGAGAAAAGAATGCCTACTCCTCGCGTGCGCTTTACGGGGTTGTTACTGAAGTATCCTACTTGGAAGTTTCGGTCTTTCAGGGCTGGTGCTCTACCCTCTTGGAAGTGGGTTTCTTGCAGGAAGGCTACCGACGCCTTGTAGTGTTTTAGGTCTCGTAGTAGTCTTGTCCGTTTCTCCCTGGTGTTCAGTCCGTGCACGTTGTACGAGACGATGTTCAGGTCCTCACGCGCGAATCCGTTTGGCCCCGGGGCCGGCATCCCGTGGGCGGCCAGGGGGGACTAGTGGGTGTAGCTGAGGGTGGTGGGTGGTGTTGGGCTCGTATGTGTTTGAATGGAATGTGTCGTGTAGTTGTGTTTGCGTGTGGATTTTGTTTCTGCTCTGTGTGTGTATACACTGCCTTTGGAGGTCAGTGTCCGCTAAGGTTAATGGACAATTAACCCGTCGGTACGACTGCTTGTCCGGCCTATCGGAGGGACCGAGTCGTCTCTGGGGTGTGTGTATCCCCTTCCTTGAAGGGTGCCGTGTGTCCTGGTCCTAAGGGGGGGTCGGGCTGTGTGTCGGTGCTCGCCCTGCCTGGTCTGTATATGTGTTTTGGAGTATGGTGTGGTGTCCCGTCTCTGTAGTGGCTATGTGATCGGTGCATCCGCTCATTCTCGCGGTGCGTGGGTGGGTCGTTTAGTGTATTTTGTGCGTGGTGGTGTTATTGCTGAGCAGCCTTATGGCGCTCTGATGTGGTGATCGTCCCGTCAGCCTATTCGCGGGCGCGGTTCTGCTGGGGGGGCCCATATTTCGTGAGCTTTGCGATGTTGTTTGGGGGTCGGTCGTGTGCCTTGGTGAGTTGGTTGTTCTCCTCGGTCTGGTTGGGTCTCGGGGTGGCTATCCCGTGGGTCTGTTCTAGGGGCACTATAGCGTTCTCTGTGTAGCGTCTCTAATACTGGTATTTTGAGGCCTGGGAGCGTAATGTGGCGGTTAATATCTTTATGATGACTTAGTGTATCTCTGTGTCATATCTTGTAGTAGGTTCGTCTATCTAGCTAGAGCGAGCGTTAGTCATGGGGTACTGCTGGCGCCGCGGCTGTGTGCGCTTAGGCGCTGTATGCGCGTGGCTGGTGTAGTGTGCGTGTAACACCTTATACATTTAACATAGCGCTAATAGGCATGCATAGATGACATCCTCTTGTTAGTTTGGTATTTTGTTGTATCTCCCCTCATCTGCTCAAGTTGCCTGCGGTTCTCCATTCCCCCCTCACCTTCCCAAAACTAGTTGTCTTGGATCGCCCCCGGGTGGGCGTTTTGGCTGTCGTGTTTCTTTCCCTCCCTCCCCCTTTCCTTCCCCCCCTCCCCTTTGCCTCCTTCATCCCTGTGTACCCGTTTTCTCCCCCTTTCCCCCCCTGCCTCCCCCCTCCCCCTTCAATCTGTGTGCATACTGTCGTCTGTTTCCTCACTCAGTGCTTGCGTAGCCCATGCCTTCCCTCCCTCCTTTCCTTCCCCCCCTCCCCTTTGCCTCCTTCATCCCTGTGTACCCGTTTTCTCCCCCTTTCCCCCCCTGCCTCCCCCCTCCCCCTTCAATCTGTGTGCATACTGTCGTCTGTTTCCTCACTCAGTGCTTGCGTAGCCCATGCCCTTCCCCCCACTCCCTTCCCCGTTCCCTCCCTCCCACCTCTAGTGTGACCTCGTGTGTGCGTGTAGTTTCGTGACCATGTAATGTGCCATGTGGTTCTATATGGCTTGGGTGTTGTGTGTGGGTTTGCCTACAGCCATTCTGGCCCCTTGGCCCGGCCCGCGCTCCCAGTCCCCACCCCAATTGTCCAGTTCCCCACCTTCTAGTAAATAGGTGCGTGTGGAGTTATGCGTTAGTCCCCTCAGGCCCCCTGGTAGCCCTCTCCCACCCCAGTCCATCTTGCGTTTTCTTGTGTATGTCCCCGTATTTGTTACTCACAGTTCGGTGCGTTCTCACTGTGGCCCTATGGTCCCCCCCAGGCTGTTTGATGGTCTGTTTATCGCTCACGCCTTGCCTGGCCTTGATTCCAGTCACGGCGGCGCTGGTGCTGGGGCCCTTGGGGGTTCAGATCCTGTCTGCGTGGTTGCTGCGGTCCTGGTGGTTGCTGGAGGAACGACCTTGTTAGCCAGTCGGGTACTTGTATTGGCGGGAGGCCTAGGGTGCGTAGAAAGCTTGGGACTTCTTCTGATTTCCTCAGCGTTATTTGGTCCGGGCCCTGTCTAGCTGTCAGGGAAAATGGGTAGCCCCAGCGGTACGGGATACCTGCTTGTTGTAGGGCCTAGGTCACCGGGCGTAAGGCTCTTCTTGCTTGTAGTGTATAGCGGGACAAATCTTGGTAAATGGATATATTTTGCCCCTCCAGGCGGACGGTTCCCATACGGCGGGCCGTGCGCAATATTTCCTCCTTTAGCTGGTAGTTATCTAGGCAGCATATGATGTCCCTGGGCTGGTCTTCTGGGGCTGGCAGGGGTCTCAGAGCTCTGTGTGCCCTTACTAGGCCTAGTCTGGGTATGTGCTGACCCCCCAGTACCTGCGTGAATATTTGCTGCAGCATGTCTGGAATATTCTCCTACGGGCCTCCTTCCCTCACCCCGCGGACGCGTAGGTTCAGTCTGCGGCCGCGGTTGTCCAGGTCATCTATCCACGTGGTGAGGTATGCCATGTCTGCTTCCTGGCCTGTGACTGCCGTGTTGGTGTGTTCCAGGTCTGTCCGGAGGGCTTTTGTCTCTGCCTCTGCCACGGACATACGGGCCTCCATGTTTGCCATATCAGCACGGAGTTGGGCCACTTCTTCACGTACCACCCGGCCTAGGCGATCTGAGAGGGCCTCGAAGTCAGTCTTCGTTAGGAGGTTGGGCAGTATATCCCTCCATCCATCCTCCTGCAGCATCTGAGGTTCGGATGCATAGGATAAGGCAGGTGAGTGCCTGGCCGGAGTGGATGGAGTGGAGTCCGGCGCTTGGTTTGCGGCCTCCATTTCCGGCTGTGGGGATTGTGCGCGGGTAGTGGGATGCAGATAGGACCTTATTGTGTGGTCCCCTCCGGGACCCGCGGGCCTCGGGGTGCCTCCCGGGTCGGTAAGCTTCTTTGTGCGACCCATTTGTTGTGTGCAGCGAGCGGGATTAGCGGGTTGCTTGCGGCTTGGATGCGGGCGCCACGAGGAGCTCCGGGTTCACACGTCCATCTTGGTCGGCTGCCGGACACGCCCCCCCCCAGTTCAGCTACTTTTGACCTTCAATATAAAAGTCATTTTGAATTCCTGACTATACTCACTATAGTCTGTAATGCCACCTCTGGTTGCGGTCATTCGGTTGACCACTAAAGGGACTTTCTGGATGCAGTCCTGCAAAAATTGCAGGACCAACATTCAGTGTCTCCAATAGAGTCAGTGCTTCTCTGAAGAGATACTAATTGCTCTAAATGCACAGTCGCCTCCTAGTGCTTCCTTATGTGTAAGCATTGGATTGGCTGAGGTCACAGATCTGACTGATGCACCTGGGGTTATAAAACATTATATTTTATAACTTTTTTAAATAGCTATTAGAACACTGTAGCTAGAGTGTTTTGTACAGAGCAGGAGATAACTTCTAAAGTTAACACACTGTGCTGTAAGATGTGATTTGAAAATGAAACTTTTTTTTTTTTTCTGAGGAAGTGTGGCTAGGTCTGTCTAAACATTAGACTCCTACATGGCATAGACTTGAGCAGTGAGACTGCAGGGGCATGATCTGTACATCACAACTGCTTCATTAAGCTAAAGTTGTTTTTGGTGCTTAGTGTCCCTTTAAGTATTTTCATATTCATTTAACTGGCATCCTCTTGAAATGATAATGCTGACAACATTCCTTTGATCTCTTCATATGAAAAGTTTGTGATGTGAAATTATACCTTGTTTCTGTGACAACCAAATGTGTTTTTAGTGGAAGCAAATAAAGTTATTTTTAAAGGGACACTCTCTAAGCACCAAAATAACTTTAACTTAGTGAAGCAGTGTTGTTGTATAGATCATACCCCTGCAGCTTCACTGCTCAACTATCAGCCATTAGAAGTTAAATTGATACTATAGGCATCAATATATTGCCCATTGGAGTGGTCTGGGTGCCAACTCCCATCAACCTTAACCCTGCAAGTGTTGTGATTGCATTTTTATAAACTGCAAAAAATACCTTGCAGGGTTCAGTCCTTAAAACCCCCCCCAGCGTCGCCGGAATCCCCATTGGAAAGCATTGAATAATGCTTTCCTATGGGAAGATCTAATGCGTGCGCTACCATTGCCGCGCATGTGCATTACATCTCCCACCCCCCCCGGCTGACGGCGGGGAAGGAGTGTGGGTGGAGCCTGACCCAGCGCCGAGGGACGTCGGTGCTGGATTCAGGTAAGTCACTGAAGGGTTTTAACCCCTTCAGCAACATGGGATGGGTGATGGGAGGGGCACTGCAGAACTCTGAAGTGCCAGGTAAACTATGTTTTCTTGGCACTGCAGAGTCCCTTTAAGTGGGCATCTGAATCATGTGTGAGATATTTAAATTTTGTTTCATGTTCTTCCTATACCATGTAGGTGCAGTTTCACGTATCAAGCCTGCCAGAGCCTACTTTTCAGACGTTGCTTGTTGAATGACAGTATTGCAGTTAATCCAATCCCAGGAGGTAAATAGTAAATTATCCTTTAATTGGTGGAGGATATAGAAAGTATATTTTTGTTTCCTTGTGCTATTAATCCCTATTTTGATCAAGTATATCCATTTTGTTCTGTTCTCTTTAGATGCGGATTGGATAAAGAAGCTGCTACAAGGACCTTGTGTGTTATGTGATTCACCAGTTTTTTAGCACGTCGTTGCCATTCACCATAACTTCAATAGTTGGCATGGAAACTGTAAACATACTGTGCAGTGGCAGTATAAGCTGACCATTACCACTTGGCTCTTACCATGATCGCACTTATCTAAACTGCCAGCAAGGGGCATTATGCAGTGGCATGCTGAGACACCCACCACCCGTGGACTGCAGGGCTTCCTCAAGACTACATATACAATCAACTGAAATTTGCTGAATTCATGTATATGTAGGGTGTGTGTCTTTGTGTGTTTTCTACAGCTTTATCCATTCGGGAATAATATTGCTAGGTTCTGACATCAACGGTGTAATTGAGTTGAGATGGGTTTTTTTTTCGTCGACAAGTGTTACATTCACGCTTTTTGTAAATTTTCTCCAAAGTTGTTGAATTTGTATTTTTATGTGAATATTTATTTTTTTGAACAATATGTCTTGTACCCTTTCTTTTTTTTCCCCACTGTGGAATCGTGTAAATACATTTTCTCATTCTACAACCATGAAAAAGGGGTAAGATCAGAATAAGTACACTCAGTGGTCGTCCACAGGTTGGATAGCGTTTACTGTGTAATATCAAACCATCTGTTTGGGTTACTTTTTATTTTATATATTTCTTTTTAAATGCATCTCGTTTAGGGATATATATGGCCTGTATATCTTATGTTATTTTCTCTTTGATGGGAGTTAACATGTTTCATACTGATGAATGCAGCCTGCCATATTCTCGACAGTCACTCACTGCGTCCAAACTTGTTAGTCAAGAAGTTGAACAGGTTCAACAGTTGTAGGAAGAATGTGATAACCAGATTGAAAGGTTGGAAGACTCCTTTTATTGATAAGGAAACTGGGAAAAGGGCAGTTGGGACAAGCAAACCTTAACTCACCCATACATGTAACTTAAAATGGTTTCTCATGCTAATATCAGTGAAATTCCCCATTACTTTTGCTTAAAGGAACATTATATTGTTATGAATACAAATGTGTATTCCTAATGCTATAGAGATCTAGTCACCGGTTAGGTGAAACACCCTCTCCCCTCGGGTTAAAAAGTAGTTAACTCACCTTTTATCCAACGCCATGATTCCCTGTCTGTGACTGGCCCACTTCCTTGGCTACTATCATCAATCCAAGGCTTCCCCATAGAAAAGCAGTTAGAGGCTAATGGGTAAGTTTGGCAAAATGTTGCGCTGTGCCAGATGAGCTCTATCATACCATCTAATTGAAATAGCAGAGTTTTACTCCGCTATATACAGAAGCGCCTCTGATGGTTGTTGGTGATAGCCACTCGAGCCATTTAAACACTGCAGTGAAAACATTACTGTCCCTGTTTTTCATTTGCAGAGTTAAAACTAGTGGGGAAATGGCAGAGCAAGCACTTCATTGAGATGGAGTAGTCTGGGTGCTTATATCGTCCCTTTAACTGGTTGTTACACACCTGCCTTGATTAGACATGTCATGCAGCAGCAAGTGGTGTTGAGGGTAAAAATAAAAATGCTTTAAGTCACCAAATCAGCAGTCTCAGGGCCAGTGGAAGGATTTTTGCCTCCCTCGCCGAAATTTTTTTTGCCGCCCCATTCGTTCCACCCACTCATGCAGAATTACCTAAATTGACCAATGCACACACGCTGACCCATACAGACACACACACCCCGAAACCCATACACACAAGCAGACTCATACATACACACTGACCCATGCAGACACACACATACACACAGACCCAAGTACAGACTGACAAACATTCTCTGAAACACACACTGCAAGTTCTCTCTTACCTGCATTGCACTTTGTTCCTGTCTTCTTTACTGCGCTCGGCGGCTGACACTTTTTTTTTCTCAGCCCCATTTCCTGTTATTCTCCCGCCCACTTTTTCCCACGTACAGGGCAAGGGGTGGGAGCGAGTGAAGGACATGCCAATACGCTGCCGCGGTGCTTTGCTGGGAGAGGGGTCCTGACTTTGCAGGCTGTGGTGAATGCCGGACCGACGTTCTACCGGGCGCTAGTCTACAAGTAAGTGCTCCCTAGTGCCTGGTAACGCTGCCGCAGCCTGCTCTATATAATCAATTCAACTTCATAGGCCAGTAAAGCCCCTGCTGGCGGGCCCTTAAGAAGCTCCCTAGGCGGCCGCCTACTTAGCCTATAGGACGCGCCGGCCCTGAGTAGTCTTATTCATTGAAGCACTTTCTTCTCATTATGTGCTATCTGGACCTCTTAAGTACTTTACAAAAGTATACTTAATATAGGGTGCTCTAAAACCTGTTAAGTATAAGGAGTTCAAATGGTATGAAGTTTGTCAAAACTTACTCTCTACCCAATAGATGCACCACATTGCAACTGAGCAGCATTAGCATTCAATTTTAAACATTTGAGCAAAATGCATTGATCCGTGTTTGGGTTGTTAATGAATATAAGCTGGCTGGGATCACAACTTGTTGGCATTTTGGTTTTAGTAACATAAGTGATGAGCCCGAGAGTGTGTAAGAGAACTTATATAGGTTTATATAAATATAATTCTAGCACTTATTTAGAAATTAATAAATGCAGTGATCTAAAGGTATCAAAGGCTCATGAACACAATTAATTGTATATCCAGTGTTAAATTGTAAGCAAAATATTATAAATTAGGTGTAACACAGCTACTTAAAGCAACGCAAGCACGTATTCCTGACTAGTGTTAAAAACACCATCTGCTACCCCTTACTCCCCTAAATATAGCAAAAGCTTACCTTTATTCCAGTCTGCTGCTGCTGGCTCTGCCCCTGATCTGCCTGCTTGGCTGACATCATCAGAAGAGGTGTACTGAGCCAATCACAATGCTTTCACATAGGAAAGCATTGGATTGGCTGAGCATCTCTGAAAAAACAGCATTTGTTGCAATGGAATGATTATACTCACCAAAACAAATACCATAAGCTGTAGTTATTTTGGTGACTGTAATGTCCCTTTAATTGCTAAATGTGAGCCATTATGCCTGCAAAGTAATCAACCAGACTAGTGCCAATGATTTACCCTATTATGTTTAAAGGGACACCGTGGGCACCCAGACCACTTCAGAACCTTAAAGTGGTCTGGGTGCCAACTCCCATCACCAATAACCCTGCAATTGTAATTATTGCAGTTTTAAGTCCTCCTCTAGTGGCTGTATATCAGACAGCCACTAGAGGAACTTCCGGCTTCTTAGGTTACCTTTTGTCGTCTAAATTGAATAATGCTTTCCTATGGGGAGGTCTAATGGCGCGTTCATTGTCGCGCATGCACATTAGATCTCCCCCGCTGGCGGATGTAACCCATCAACGCTGGATTCAGATAAGTGTCTGAAGGGGTTTTAACATCTTCAGCGACGTTGGATGGGTGCAGGAGGGAGGGGGGCAGTGCAGAATTCTACAGTGTACCTGGCACTAGAGAATCCCTTTAAGGAAGGTGAACTAGTAAGTGTGGCGAAAGAGTTGTAGAGTCGCAGCTCTGAAACAATGGGACAATATTTTTATCAACAGTATTAATTGGCACCTTAATTGACATATGGGGACAGGGAAAGTGTGTCAAGCTGGGGGTAAGTGGTGGTAAGGATAACCCTTGATAAATGGATATCAAAATATAATAGAGAAACAGCTACCCAACCAAGTACAGCTACCCAATATAAAATTTAACTTTTTAAGATCAGTTAAAATTAGCAAACTAAACAACCAGAACATAAAACATAGATGTCTGCTAGTGGGAACCTAGATAGGCCCATTTTAACCAATGTAATAAAAGTTATTTTATATTGAACTGGGTTGGGTAGCAGTTTATCTTTTCCGTATTACGTAGTACTAGTTTTACTGTGTAGAGATTATATACAGACACATGGATGGTGTAGACATCAGCGAGATGACTAGTCATAAGGCTTAATTATGCTGGCTTGGCAGGATAACTACATCCTGGCTTTTGCACTGTGTGAATGAATTATTTAACCTCTCTTTGATAATTGAGGCCTAGCCTACAGTAGAATCCATTGTGGAATGTAGGGATAAAAAGGAATACAAAGGGTTTTAGGGGCAGGGAGGAGTTAAACTATGTTGGGCACCAATAGCATTGTCGTGATTTGTCTAGAAATGCCAGCGAGCAGTTGGTGCCACTTGCTATCAGCAGTTTGAAGCTGGCTGTGTTGTTTTCTGGCAATCCATGTTTGCCATGTGGTGCCCACATCATTAGGACCACTGTGATGTTTCTAATGTTGTGTTATACAGAAATCTGTCATCGATACAGTGCCCAGTGACCCAGATATTTGGTTAGAAGTAAGGTAGGAGTTATACAGAAATAGATAATTGCAGATTATTGCAAAAACAAGACAAAATACTTGCATTTATTTGGCGATGACTATTTCCTAAACATGAGGGCTGCATCTTGACTGGGAGCCACATAACATACCTCCCACACCTGTGTCATACCTTTCTGCCCTGTAGACGTTTATTGATTAGTTTAGCTGAGTCTGTGAAAAATCATTTGATCTGGACTCTCAAGTGTTTATTCACTAAACTAATAGTTTGAAAGAGAAGGGAATTGGAAATATTAGGCCTAATTAGCTACGCTATGAAAATTGTCCATCAGTTAATTTTATAACTGGACTATTTTGGTCTAAATATGCAATTCTCTTGTCAGTTTTCTACACGTCTACAATTTTATGTATATATAAAAGGGGCAGTCTGTGCACCATAACCACTGTAGCCTGCTGAATTGGTGATCGTGCCTGGAGCTCCCTGCTCAGTGCCACTGTCAGGAGATTTTGTTCAGTACTTAGTGATTATTTTAGTGATATACTTGGTAAAACGCACATACATAATTGCCTCTCATAAACGAATGAACTCCTAAGGTTTCACGAGCCAATCAGCTTCAAGCAGGGAAGACGGATTGTCATGGAAACCCTGTGCAGTTAAAATGGCTGCTTCGACTGTATGCATTAGTAATCAATGGTATCTTTTGCAAACAGATTTTTAATTTGTAGTTTAATTTATTTATGTTTATTGTATTATTAAACACCAAAGACATTTACAAAAGTGACTGATCAGCTTTAAGCACTTTAGCATTCATAAATATACATTGTATACCAGATTCTGTATTTTTGGAGTAAAAAAAAAACCAAAAAGACAAAAATCCTAGCAGAAAATAATTTTAAGCAAATCATGGTTTGTTCTGAGCTACTGCAAGCGGACCATGTTCTGGCCACGTTAGATGGAAAGGAAAGCAGGATATACAACAAAAATTAAATAAAAACCTAATTTGCCCTGTATTCTTCCCTAGATTGTATGCTCCAAACCTTTTCCTTTTTATTTTTTACCCAGCTTTTTTCTTAACAGGTTTCTTTGATGTCTGAGAACTTACCAAATGGTAACGGGTTCATTGTGCTTTTACACGCCTTTCCTTGTGAATCAAGCCAAAGAAAAGATCGAATGAAGTGATGTTTGGCATTAACACTCTTTGCTACACAAAGCTAAACCCTCTGAAAGGATTTAAGACATTAAGTAGGCCTCAGAAACTTCTAAGGGATTTGAATTACTGTGAAAGCACTCTTTTATCTCTTTGAAAAGAAAACTTTATTTAGTCATACGTGGGACTGTAACTCACAATGGTGGCATCCATACAGATGTATGTATGTGCCATCTACAGTCAACAAGATCTCAGAACCTCTCACATTAAAATGAATCCGTTCTTTCTTCAGAAAACTGCATCAACTTATACACTAGGACTTCAAAACAACATTTCCATATAAAAGCTACGGAATGCAGATAGTTGACAGGAGATCAGCGTATCCTTCAGTGTATGAGATGACAAAGCAAGTGGTGAACCACCCCAGTTACATCTTTTTATGTTTCCTCTCCGACAAAGACTCAAGAGACTCATTCTGTATATATACATATATATATTTTTCCACTGAAACTCTCTATAATTTATCTATTTGACTGTAAACCCAGTTGGAACCGCAGCAGTCTTAAATCATATTACAAATATATTAAGATTTATTTGTAAAGTTTCGATAGACAATGCAGCACCTGGACTTGAGTTCCAAGTAAGTGTAATATTTATTTTGTAATACTTCTTTAATTGGAACTCAACTGCAGAATTTCCTGGTTGCAGCAACAATAAGTTTCACCTCCTTTTATATTGATATGAAACAATGGTCACTGTACCTTTAAATACACATGAAGGAAAATTAGGCTTTGTAGCAATCCCTTATGAATAAGAGGAATAATTAGACAAAGTGACACTTTAGTGAGTTTTAGATACTGTGTAACATAAATAATAGGAATTGGCTTGTTTGGTAAAAGTATTACTTAACTTAAAGGCAGTTCTGGCACTGGAAGGGTTAATTCACCCAATGAAGGAGGAAATTAGAAGTCCGTTTCAACAAGCTGAGAACTAGGAGTGGAGAGTGGGGAAGTCCGTTTTAACAAGCCGAGGTCTGGGAGTGGAGAAGGTAGAATTCAGAGTTACAAGCCGAGGTCTAGGAGTGGAGAAGGTAGAAATCCGTTTACAAGCCGAGGTCGAGAAGTGGAGAAGGTAGAAATCAGTTTTACTAGCCGAGGTCTAGAAGTGGAGCAGGTAGGATCAAAAGTAGAGCAGCTGATCTTTCTGCAGCACCTGTGCGAATAATCCAGCCCTTTGAATCTGGCGCAGTCTTCCTAAGTATCGTGGAGGGACCGCGTCAGAAAAAAGGGCGGGGCTGAGCGCCGTGAACCCGGAAGTGGGTTCCGGCGACGAAATACATGCCATGCTATACCTGACAGTAAGTAATAAAACGAAGGGAAGAATGCCAGTGGATTGTTACTTTCATAAAAAAAGTAGAACTAGGGGGCGGAGCCTGGCAGCCAGGGCCGGATTAACATAGGGGCTGATGGAGCTGCAGCTCCAGGCCCAGGCCCAGGCCCAGGCCCATGGAATAGGCCCATTGATTTTAAAAAAAAAAAAATATTTTTTTTTTACATTTTTTTTTTTTTCACACACTACTCTTAGGGATTCCACCTGGCTTTTATTTTATTGGCACAGCCAGTATTTGAGGCTGCCTGGCTGGTGCCAATATTGCAGTGATACTGGCAATACAAATGCTGGTATTTTTCTCAGTATAAACAAGAGATTACTCTGCAATACCAGCACTGGCCAGTAGGGGTCACTGTGTATGGAGAGAGGCAGGGATAGGAAGTTCCAGCATATCCCTCCCTGCCTATCTATACTCACTGATCTGCAGGGGTGCAGCTACAAAGAGTCTAGACAGCAACTCCCACCCTGCAGAGACAGCCTATAGCTCAGGGAAGTAAGGGATGGGGGAAAGGCTGCAAGGAGACATGGGGACACTGAGACACTAAGGGGCACTGGGAGACATTATGGCAGACACTGAGACACTAAGGGGCACTGGGAGACATTATAGCAGACACTGAGACACTAAGGGGCACTGGGAGACATTATGGCAGACACTGAGACACTAAGGGACACTGGGAGACATAATGACACAGACACTGAGACACTAAGGGACATTGGGAGACATAATGACCCAGACACTGAGACACTAAGGGACATTGGGAGACATGGGGCATTGAGACACTGATACATAGGAACACTGAGACCTGGAGTAATCGACACATGGGGGCACTGAGTCATGGGGGCACTGGGAGACATGGGGGCACTGGGAGGAATCCATCTATACAGCAGAATCAAACTAAGTAGTTTTTTGGTGATTCTACAGCATTTTCTCTTATGTCACTCCTTGTGATTTACATCATGTGATGTCACCCATACATATTTAATTATACAAATTAGTAAGGCCGGTATGTTTTTCCAAGAAAGGTGGCAACCCTAACTACTTTTCACATACTCTTACTGAAGTATGGAAACTTAAGAGGGATGTATGGGAACAAAACTTGTGTGGACTGGCTGACAATGAATATAGTTAAAGGGACACTATAGTCTCCAGGACAACTACAGCTTATTGAATTTGTTCTGGTGAGTAGAATCATTACTGTCAGGCTTTTTGCTGTAAACACTGCTTTTCAGAGAAAATGCAGTGTTTACTTTACATCCTAGTGATAACTTCACTGGCCACTCCTTAGATGACTGTTAGAGATCCTTCCTGGGTCATGGTTGCCTAAAATGCATCCAAACATTCAGTGTCTCCTCCCTCTGCATGCAGACACTGAACTTTCCTCATAGAGATTCATTAATTAAATTCATCTATATAAGGAGATGCTGATTGGCCAGGGCTGTGTTCGAATCATGCTGGCTCTGACCCTGATCTGCCTCTTTGTCAGTCTCAGCCAATCCTATGGGGAAGCACTGTGATTGGATCAGGCCACCACTTCTAATGATGTCAGCAGACTGCTTGTTTGTATGAGTCTAACAGCATGCAGAGTTAAAGCTTCAGGCTTGAATATAGTAAGATTTTGCTATATTTATGGAGGCATGAGGGGCCCAGGGGGGCTAGATGGTGGTGTTGACACTATAGGGTCATGAATTCATGTTTGTGTTCCTGACCCTATAGTGATCCTTTAAGGTAATGCTGACTTTGGTCTCTCTAACACTGTGGCATGTTCCCTTTCTTCTACACTCACTACATACAGCTTTTCTCTATCCCAGACCATATACCAGGAGCTTCTGCCTGCTAGTAAGAAGGTAAGGAGACAAGTGGACCAGCGAGTGCTAGGGGGCAGTCCTCAGAAAGCGTTGAGTGAGCGCATCATTAGATGCATTTATGCCAAGCTCAGGGTGCTGTCTGCATACAGGGAGTGCAGAATTATTAGGCAAATGAGTATTTTGACCACATCATCCTCTTTATGCATGTTGTCTTACTCCAAGCTGTATAGGCTCGAAAGCCTACTACCAATTAAGCATATTAGGTGATGTGCATCTCTGTAATGAGAAGGGGTGTGGTCTAATGACATCAACACCCTATATCGGGTGTGCATAATTATTAGGCAACTTCCTTTCCTTTGGCAAAATGGGTCAAAAGAAGGACTTGACAGGCTCAGAAAAGTCAAAAAATAGTGAGATATCTTGCAGAGGGATGCAGCACTCTTAAAAATTGCAAAGCTTCTGAAGCGTGATCATCGAACAATCAAGCGTTTCATTCAAAATAGTCAACAGGGTCGCAAGAAGCGTGTGGAAAAACCAAGGCGCAAAATAACTGCCCATGAACTGAGAAAAGTCAAGCGTGCAGCTGCCACGATGCCACTTGCCACTAGTTTGGCCATATTTCAGAGCTGCAACATCACTGGAGTGCCCAAAAGCACAAGGTGTGCAATACTCAGAGACATGGCCAAGGTAAGAAAAGGCTGAAAGACGACCACCACTGAACAAGACACACAAGCTGAAACGTCAAGACTGGGCCAAGAAATATCTCAAGACTGATTTTTCTAAGGTTTTATGGACTGATGAAATGAGAGTGAGTCTTGATGGGCCAAATGGATGGGCCCGTGGCTGGATTGGTAAAGGGCAGAGAGCTCCAGTCCGACTCAGGCGCCAGCAAGGTGGAGGTGCAGTACTGGTTTGGGCTGATATCATCAAAGATGAGCTGTGGGGCCTTTTCGGGTTGAGGATGGAGTCAAGCTCAACTCCCAGTCCTACTGCCAGTTCCTGGAAGACACCTTCTTCAAGCAGTGGTACAGGAAGAAGTCTGCATCCTTCAAGAAATACATGATTTTCATGCAGGACAATGCTCCATCACACGCGTCCAAGTACTCCACAGCGTGGCTAGCAAGAAAGGGTATAAAAGAAGAAAATCTAATGACATGGCCTCCTTGTTCACCTGATCTGAACCCCATTGAGAACCTGTGGTCCATCATCAAATGTGAGATTTACAAGGAGGGAAAACAGTACACCTCTATGAACAGTGTCTGGGAGGCTGTGGTTGCTGCTGCACGCAATGTTGATGGTGAACAGATCAAAACACTGACAGAATCCATGGATGGCAGGCTTTTGAGTGTCCTTGCAAAGAAAGGTGGCTATATTGGTCACTGATTTGTTTTTGTTTTGTTTTTGAATGTCAGAAATGTATATTTGTGAATGTTGAGATGTTATATTGGTTTCACTGGTAATAATAAATAATTGAAATGGTATATATTTGTTTTTTGTTAAGTTGCCTAATAATTATGCACAGTAATAGTCACCTGCACACACAGATACCCCCCTAACATAGCTATAACTAAAAACAAACTAAAAACTACTTCCAAAAATATTCAACTTTGATATTAATGAGTTTTTTGGGTTCATTGAGAACATGGTTGTTGTTCAATAATAAATTAATCCTCAAAAATACAACTTGCCTAATAATTCTGCACTCCCTGTATATTTCTTATTATTTTTTATTTATTTTTTATATACATAGATATATATACAAAATTCATTCTAAGTGTATTTTGATATAAATATATATATATATTAATTTTAAAATACAGTTAGAATAAAGGAAATTTCATATAACTATATAATTTTTTTTTAAATTTTTTATTATTATTTAAAACAATTTCTATTTAATTTAAATTACTTGTATTTATATTTTATAATATATATATATACAATATATATAGTTATTATATATATTATATATATACGTGTAATTTAATTATAAATGTATTTTTATATTAATATAAGTACATATTAATATAAAAATACACTTAGTATGGCATTATATATATGATATATAGACATATATTATATAGATATAATATATGTCTATATATCATATATACACATATATAATTATTTTTATTTTTTTAATTAACACTAACTTTATTTTTTTTTTCTGATTTTACACAAGCAGGGAGACTGCCTGTCAGCACAGACAGTCACCCTGCAGGCAGCACTATGGACACCTATTGTGACCATGTGATCGCTGTGTTAAGCGATCACATGGCCACAGGGGTCCTAATCTGCCGTGGGGAGACTGTCTGGGCTGCAGGCAGTCTCCCCACAACCGGAGCAACGCTGATCGCCGCCGGGGGAACGACGGCGATCAGGTAAGTACCCCCAGACCGTTAGGACGGTTCAGGACCGTCATCGGTCGGCAAGGCAAAAATGCCGATGACGGTCCTGAACCGTCCTCGGTCCTTAAGGGGTTAAATAAAGTGTATCCGTCTGATTGTTCGGTAGAGTCATTCGAATAAACTAAGGGAATGAAACTACCGAACAATCAGACCTCCCCTGTGTGAAGTGTGCCTTCAATTACCCGTTGCAACAATGTTGCAAACGGGTAATTAACAAGCTATGCAGTAGGTCCTTTGTTCTCGGGGTGGCCGCCATTCGAGAAACAAACACGTGCTGGCGGCCATTTTAAAACTCCCGAACAGCGGTGTTTTGCCGTCGAGTGTCTGGAACCCAAATCGGACACTCGACTAGGCAAACACCGCTGAGACCTCCACAAGCCCGGTCCGTTCGGTTCCAACCTACCAAACGGCCCCTCGTTCGGTAGACAGAAACAACCGAACGAGGGGATTCAGGCGAACCCTACCTGATCTCTGTAGCCTTAGCCTTTCGTGTAATTTATTCCCTTATACTGGGACCGACCATAGGGCCCCATCGCATGGAACCAAATTCGGCTGTACTCTCCAGCGCTGTCGGTCTTTTTAGTACTTCCATAAATTTCCCGAACCCCTGGTCCGATCTGGGTGATTTTTGGATATGTTGCTCACCCAGATCAGGGCTACCAGGGGATGTGCCATTTAAAGGGGTATCCCTAGGTTTAGGGGTACATCCAGAAACTGAGGGAATTTGTGTACAGTATAAGGGGATTATGAGTCAGGCTGAGGGGAGGGGATGTGTGGGAGGTTACTCGACTATGATTGGACACTGCAGTAATTGCTGTAAATCCCTCCCTTGCATGGGAGCATGCTTTATAAGGCCACTGTGGAATAAAGGTTTTCAGTTCTGCTCCTGATGCTGTGTGTCGTCCAGTTATTGGGATTGCTGTTGGGATACTGTTGGATTAATTTACCTGCTGGAAACCTTGCTTTGTGGATTTATCATCTCTTGTTCCTGAGCCTCACTGGGATCTTAAGCGGAGATAACCTGTGGAATATTGTATCTCCGCTACACATCCCATATACATATACACACACACACACACACACATTTCAGCCTCTAGACATACAAACTCTCTTTCACCCTCTAAAATAAAACCCACACTATGTCCTGTATACATACACACACTCTCTACAGCCCTCTACAAATAGACACACACTACTTACCCTATACACACTCTGCAGACCCCTATACACTACAGCCCCTAAAAATAAAAATAGCTGATACACTACAGCCATTATACACACATTACATCCCTACACTGCAGCCCCTTTGCACAATACAGCTCCTATGCACACACTACATCCCATATACACACACACATACACTTCAGCCTCTAGACACACACTCTCTATGACCCTCTAAAATAACATACAAACTTGGTCCTGTATACATACAGCCACTCTCTGCAGCCCCTAGACACATATGCACAGACACTACTTCCCCTACACACACACTGCAGCTCATATACACACACTACAGCCCCTGTATACATATACACATACCATATCCACTATGCACACATGCTACAGCCCCCTACAAACACACATTCAGTCGCCTATATACATGTACTCTCTACAGTCCCTGGACACACACACTCAATCCTCTACACACACACTCAATCCTCTACACACACTACATACTCATACAAATGACAAATGATGATGGCGGACTCCTCCCTTCTTTCTGTTCCCCTAATAATCTTTTTATGTGTCCCAAAACCCTACAGATTGGCAGAGGATCTGGGGGTAAGAAGAGGTTAAAATGGAGTTGAGGCACAGAAAGGGTCAGGGGAGTGGCTGGTTAAACTATACCAACAGGGGCCACAAAAAAAATCTAGCATGCAATAGTGCCTGACCTTTGGATCGCCTGTGGCTATAGGTAGGTACCAGATTTCTACTATTTCACAATAGAAAGAGGGTAAATGATACAGATGGCATGTTCAATATCCTGGAATTTCTTCAGTCATCCAGCAAGTCCAATGACATGTCAGTTCTAGGTGATTTCCCATATGAATATGTGAATATTTTACTATGAAGACTGAGAATATTTAATTATAAATTCGTTAAGGGGCCTCACTTTTATCCGTTTAGTTTTGCAGGAGACCATAACAAGGCTGATAGAAGAGAAGAGAAAAGCATTTCTTCAAATAGAAGATCTAAACAACGAGATAAGGAAGGTGAAAGCGGAGGTAAATCAACAACCTCTTTTTAAAGTGGACTTTTTTTTACAACATCTTTGCAAACCTACTGCCATAGGATACTGAAAAAAAGGGGTATAGATAACCTGGATTGTGTTCTTAGTAAAAAAAAATTAAAAAAAATCTACCAGAACATTATTTAACACAAGTTATTATTCAGAAAACCATCCTTTTCTGATAACATAGCTGCATTGTTATATAGCTGAAAAGAGACCTACATCCATTAAGTTCAGCATTTCTTAAACCTGTTTTTGCTGGTAATCCAAAAAACTGTTTGAAGCACTTTTGCTGCAAACTAGGAAAAAATGCTTCTTGACTTTAGAATGGCAGTTAGATTTCTCCTTGGATCAAGAAGCTATTACCCTACAAATTAAAAATGACAACACCATGATCTATATTTCTACTTACTTCTTCATAAAAAGGAATTATGTTAGTTTGACATTCCATAAAACCATGCTGATTTTTGCTAATAACACTATTATTCCCAATGAATTCCTGAATATTATCCCTTAATAATCCCTCAAAAACTTTCTCAGCCACAGAAGTTAAGCTCACAGGTCTATAATTTCCAGGCACGGATTTTGAACTTTTTTTTTTAATAAAGGAACCACATTTGCTTTTCTCCAATACTCCGGAACAATTCCCAAAAGAAAATAATCCTAAAAAATGAAAATGAGAGGTTCAATTTTTTCTACATTTATCTCCTTAAGTACTCGTGGGTGCATACCATCAGGCCCTGGAGCTTTGTTTATATTAACATTCTTTAGTTCCTGCAGCACCTTGTCTTGAGTTATCCAATCACAGTAACCGTTTAATTTTTTATGTACAACACAGCTTGAAAATGAGCGACAAGAAGGAAAATCTCTGTTAAGAACATTGGCTAAGAATCAAAGAATGTTCCAAAAATTAAACAGAGGTGAGGAATGAGTAAAGCAGTGAAACGTGTGTGATACCTGGGAGGTAAAGTCAGCATTGAAGGTTTCAGACAGAGATATGCATCTTGGAGAATATGGTAACAAGTGTCAATGTGACATGGTTAAGTTTGAGATGTAATTTAAAACGAAAAGCTCACACACATTAACTCATTGTAGTTGACTAATATTTATCAGGTCACAAACAATGGCACATCATAAGAAAATAATGTAGTAGCTTTGACTTGTCCAGTGCTGTAAACCTTTTAGACATTAAGAGTGGTTCTAATTAAGGTGTTTTGCCAAAAAATAAACAATACTAATTATAGTGGTCTTCAAGAATGATCTCTTCACTGAAAAATAGGTTGCCAAGCTCATGCATGGCACATAATTTGGATTAAAGGGGTACCAAAAACAGCAAGCGGCAGTGATTATGTGCCAATATGGCGGTAGCGGTGTCCCCTGGTTCTGTTTCAAACTAAGGGTCTCTGGGATGCCTATACCCAGCTCCGAGCTTGGCATGTTGCTATTACACAAGGTACGTTTCTGCATTAGCAATATCAATGTGGTACAAATGTATACAGTGTTCATTAGCTGGTCATGTCAGTTGTTGATCTCAGCCAATCAGTTGAAACGTAAATACAATAACTCAAGGGGAGACTGAGAGGTAAAGAAATATAGATACCTCCCAAGACCACCCTTTACAAGGGGGAGAGCAACCCTTTTGAGAAATAATAATATTATTAAAACATTACTTTTAATGAATTGTCTTAAAACCCAAATCAGGGAAGTGAAAAGTATGGTAATCTAAATATCCAAAAATAATAAATGTAGGTTTGCAAAAAAAATACAGGCTTAAAATTAAGACTGTTGCTGAGGGTAAAAATGCGAGAAAAATGCAAAATGAAAAGTTAATCTGTCTCTTTAGCAATGCTGGGGTTAGCAGGGATAGAGCCAAGAATGGGTTAAATAGATCCTAAATAGCTAGTACCCTATCGTGCCTTCGAGGGCACCCCTTAAAAAATCTAGAACTCCGATATATCACCCCCATAACCACAAAGGGACTTCCAAACCAAAGGAAAGCCCTACTCCCAACGCCCTCAGTCACACCAATATCTAATTATAAACAAAACGAAAAAGGATAAAAAATAAAATAGAAGTAAATGTGTGCGCTCAGACCCCAGACACCTAGTAGCCATTGGCTTCTGTCAAACCACATAACAATGGTTGCAATGTATCAATGTCTGCATTTCATCAGCACATCTAAATAAATCCCTACTGTGCTGGTTAGTAATATTATTCCTGGTTTATTTATATCAATATCAATATCACCAACAAATTATATAGCACTTTACAATGTTAAAGTGGGATATAGGAGCAAATAGGTCAAACTATTACAAACATCAGGAAGCTATTGCACAAGCTGACAATCTAGAGGTGGTGAGGTATTAAAACACAGGAGGAAGACGGTAGACCAATGGAGAGGATAAGATCAGCAGGACATTGTTTGGAGAAAAAAAGCAGAGTTGGAAGGTGAGAGAAAGTGAGCAGACAGCTTTGTAAACAAGATCTACCCGGGTTATTGGCTTTCCTGAAGAGATCCATTTTAAGGGACTTATTAATGGATTAATGATGAGTAGGGTATGCCAACAATGTCCATTATGGCTCGTTGACAGAGACTTATAAATCATACATGTATCACCTACACAGACAGGCAACATGGCTAAAAACTTGTAATGCTAATGGGTCAACCTTAAAGCAGTTTCTGACACTCAGCAACTGTGTCTAATCACAATCAGAATGATTAACGAGAGTGAGGATCTAGTTATTTTAGAAGAAACGATCAACCTTCTAAAAACAAAAATGTAACATTTATCATTCTTTGTAAACAGTGTCTGTGATGGTGTCTCATGAATACAATGATATGGTGCAACAACTGGAACTGCAGGAGAACCTGCGGCAGGAGGCAGAGCATTTAGCGCACACGGTAGGAGAATTTTGTATAGAGGAAGTGTAACACATGTGGTGAGTGTGTGTTTGCGATTTTGTACAGAGCAAAGAAATACAATGTACAGGCCATCTTCTACCCCATGTCGCAGTCTTGGAGGACTCCTGAATTTGGTGTAGCTTTGTGATAATACATGACACATAGTGATAAGTAAAGACTTACTCCAATAAAAAAATGGTTTTGGTTATATTGACTCTTTATATCTTTTTTACTCTGGTCAAAACCCAATCCTCTTCTGCTGACATTAACCCCCCTAGCTGTCAAGGAAAGGCATGTTGGGGGTAGGACAGGTTCGAAGCAAAGCCCATGAAAAAGGAGGGATTACAGAAAATAACATTAAAAATCTTTTATTCTTTTATTATAATCTAATGGCAGCTGGAGTGCAATGTGGGACACCCTTTAATATGCCAGCATTACTGGTACTTTGTAGAACGAAGGGATTTAAACCCATTATATAACTTTATTGTGCAGTTCATATTGCTCCAGAAAAAAAAGCAGACTTGTCTAGAATAGATATAAAGAAGAGGTCACACTCAACCTCAAAGGGACTGGCTGACACGTGTTCATAGGTCCAGAAGACATGGGTTATTTATTTTCCTAGATGCTGATAGAGAAGCAGGCTGCTAACAGGCAGAGCATGCTGTTGATGCAGAATGTAGAACCCAGCGTCATGTTGGTCCATGCACTGGAGGAAGTCCGTAGACTCACCTGCGCCCTGGATGAAACTAAACAGGAGCTACAGACAAAGGTAATCAGTGAACCTGCCCCACAATCAGAGCTGCCCATAAATAGTCTGCTGTAATAAAAAACCACTGACGTATTGCACCCAGTGGGTACTGACATATAAAGATTGTTATTGTTTAGCAACAGCTGACAGTCAGCCAGTATGAGCTTTCAAAATGTCCAGACACAGGGAAGTGGACACTCACACAATAAATAAGGTAGGATATATATTTATAATGCCTTCCATATACACATACATGGAAGCAAATATATTCCACCACAATCTTTTTCTTCCACAGTATTCAATGGAGGTCTCTTTATTAAGAGTTTATCATTCATCATTGTGTTGCCGAATCTGTTCTTGCTTCATAATAAATAAACAATGGCAGTTCTTACTTTACTCCCGAGGTCGTGAGTTTGGAATCACAGTTGGCCGAGAGACCTTCTGAAGAAGAATTTGATCTGATTCGTGAAGAGCTAAAGGCTACCAGTAAAGAGAAACGAGCGCTACATGACCAGCTGAAAGAAGCCAAGGAGACCTGCTCACTTCTAGAAGGAAAAAGTAAGAAGACTGAGGTCTTCCCTATTCTTGGATCTTTATATATAATTGAGCCATATACAAAGTAAACATCTAAACACTATCTGTAAAAATATAATTTGTCTATACACTATATCCATTGATTAATCTGAGTTTCTTCCTAGAGGTCACCACCGCTCATCAATAACATCTAGATAAGGTAGGGAGTTCAACCAGGGGTGGAAGGCATCCAGAGGGACTTTGATGGTGCATCAGAGTTTGCACTTTACACAATGCCTTTAAAAGCACCCAGGCATTCAATGACACACTTAGGAAATATGCACGATTGGCCTGAAGAAATGTCACTGCGGTTTCTCTATTGAGTGTATGCAGCAGATTTGATTGAAATGTGTCTGTTTGAATCCACTGACTGAACAGAACTGGATTACATTTTAACGTTAAGATTTCAGTCTGGTCCCCGTGGGCACACTACATCCGAAGTTTGCCTTGACATTTGACTGTAGGTAAACCTCCACTACTGTCTTTTTATCATAGTCCTACTGGATATACAAATTGTTTCAGTTAGAATGACAGAGCCATTGATTAACGCACATGTGCTAATGCATCAATATTTTGACATTCTGACTTGTTGATGACAGATTCAGAGCAGCACTTGAACTGTACTGTCAAATTTGATATCTTCTGGAGTTTAAAGGCAAAATAAGCTGTAAGAGGACACTCTAGGTATCTGCAAACATCCATACCAAACATCTCTCTGCTATATTATGATAAACTAGTTGTTTCCAAAAAAGTAACTGATTTACTTACAATATTGGGTGCATGATTTTTGTTTCTTTTAGTTAAAGCTCTGGAAGAACATAAGAAAAAGGAGGAATCAATTTCGAGTGGGAATGACGAGCTGGTAACAGAAGCTCCCATTCCTCCACCGCCCCCTGTGCCACCTCCACCACCGCCAACCCTTCCTTACAACTGCTCTGAAAAGTAAGAATATGTTTGTCGCTGGACTATATGGCCACCCTCATTTTCTGAATATGTATTGTATTGGTCTATTTGCAGTAACCCGTGAGATCAACATCTAAAGTGCATTAAAAGTCCACATTCAGATGTAGTAATGGTGGTGTCAGATTTGGATGTACCTTTCCTTTTACTGAAAATATAAGACTGTAAACATGTTGTTGTTTTTTTACAGTGCTCTTACATTAATCAGACATAGACGTGGATCGAAGGAAGCTGGACTTGCCACATTAAAACGTACGCACCAGTGACTATTTTCCATTAGGGATATTTAGTAAACCTCTCTCTTATTTACCTTTATTTCCCTGGTGCACAGTCTCTCTGCAGTCACCCTGCCTCCACTCCACAATAGCCGCACTGCAACCAATCAGCATCTCCTCATAGAGAAGCATTGAGTCATTGTATCTCTATGGGGAGCTTTTAGTGGCTTGGCAGGACTTCGTCCAGGAAGTCCCTGTAGTGGCAGCCACTAGAGGTGGCATTAGGCAGCAATGCCGTTTCTAAGAAAATTCTCTTTTTTAATGCAATGTGTCCTTTGCAGGGGCAGGCTCGCTGTAGAAGAACCAGTACATTAATCTATAGTGGTTCAGGTGTCTATAGTATGGTAATGATAACTGTCATTCCTCCTTGTTGTGACTCTCCTAACCAGGTTACATAATGGCAAATATCCATGGTTCAAGATCCTGTTTGCCAAATAAATAATACATAAAAAAGAAAAGAACAAAAAGGAGAAACAATATTAAAATAGAAACAACCATGCATGTATTTAAAAACACCATTGTTATCATTTAATTTGAACAATGCAAATATTATATTTTAAAATTATTAAATAATATTTAAAACTATTACTCAATGAGAATTTAAATAAAACCAATTACAAAAAATATCTTAAATATGGACCTTTACCTGAAGAACTACTCTCTGATATTCTCCCTCTCCTTATTATAAATATAAATATATATATATTGTTATGAAATTATAAAATTGATGTATTTAAATTAGAAATGAATCTCATCTTTGACTGTCCTAGTATCCTTATAATATTGTAACCCCTCTCCAGTTCCTAATAATATTTTGACTTGCTCTTTACTGAGAGGGTAGTGGATGCATGGAATAGTCTTCCAGCTGAAATGGTAGAGGTTAACACAGTAAAGGAGTTTAAGTATGCGTGGGATAGGCATAAGGCTATCCTAACTATAAGATAATGCCAGGGACTAATGAAAGTATTTAGAAAATTGGGCAGACTAGATGGGCCGAATGGTTCTTATCTGCCATCACATTCTATGTTTCTATGTTATAAATTTAAGTCCATGTGGGTCGCTGCATTTTTAAAATGTAGAGACACACTATATTTTTCATAGCTATCCCTTATGTTCCTAACATGCTCTCCTATTTTATGTAGGGGACGTTTTTGTTCTGCCCATGTAGTATAACTCACGTGGATACACAATCATATAAAAACATTGCTGCAGTGGCAAGAAGCAACTTGTTTATTTATAGAAATATCATAGATGAATATGTGTCAAGACCCCATCTTTCATTGCCTACTCATTTTAGCCCATCTATGTTTTTGTTGCTACATTTTCCTCTCTCCTCATTTACCCCCCTCTGCCACCACCAACGTTCAGTCAACATTTAGAAGTGGTCCTCTGTGTGTCCACCAAAAATCGTCTGTTCTAGTCTACGGAGGGCCTCGATTTAACATTTTCCAATACGCTTTTCAAATAATTTAATATTTTGGATAAACATTTACAGTTATTTCATATTTTTAAAAATGTTTTAATATTTTAATATTCTGATATTGTTTATAAATTGATATCCAAAAATATTATACTGAGGCCATAATACGATCCATATTTATTTTTAGCTGCAAAGAACGTTGATGTCAAAGCTGAGGCGATGAAGGAGATGGTTGAGAGAATTAAAAATGGTGTTGTTCTAAGGCCAGCTCGGAAAGAAGGACAGGTTTGTATGAATCTCTGTGTATTTATGGAAATGGTTCCTCAAAAACTGAAATTAGGTCAAAAAATAATGCCGTTATTATTCCAGTGTGGTGGCTTTGGTTAGGATATTAATTTTAATTTATTTTCTGGTGCTCATTTTTTTAGTTGGTAAACAGCTGTTGCAAGCTGTCATTGTTACCAATACGAGATAATGTGTAATGGTAATGGATTGACACCAGGTTTACAACATTGTTGCAACATTTTTGTAGTCTATCACTAATAACAGCTGCCGCTACAAATTCCAGCCCCTTGTATATTAGCTTCTTACTAGTGAAGTACTGAAACACACACTTCGCTCTGTGTGGCTATTAGCAACAGGCAAGTAGAGGCTTTCCGATAAAACTTAGCAACTGGGTTGAAACAAGACTTTGTGTTTAAATAGGGCATATACAGATTAATTATCATTCATTTCTGTACAGTAGGCTGGAGGACGGTGGTTTAAGGTTAATGGCAGCTGGTAATGACTAGTGACAGTGTTGTAAATCAGTTAGAAACCTGTTCCTAAGTAGAGGGCAGCAGCTCTCATAGAGTATAATGGAAACCACGAGCCGCCACTTAGCGCCGGCAACTCCCTGTTGATATTTGGCAGTTACTATTATTATTATTATTAATATTGGAATTTATATAGCGCTAGCACATTCCATAGCGCTTTACAATATTATGAGAGGGGGGATTTAACTATAATTGATACAATTACAAAAACATACAGGAACAATAGGTTGAAGAGGACCCTGCTCACGCGTGCTTACAGTCTATAGGAGGTGGGGTATAAAACACATGAGGACAGGAAATAGCAATCAAATAAGGTGGAGTGAAGCAGAGCTGGAGGAGAGAGTAGAGTGCTGCCCTTTAGGAGAGAGCAAAGGACAGGTATGTGAGGTAGAGGTTACACTGGGAGGCCATAAGCTTTCCGAAAGAGATGGGTTTTAAGGCACTTCTTAAACGTTTAAAGACTAGGGGAGAGTCAGACAGGAGAAGGTCATGGGCAAATCAGAGAGAAGGGGCATTCCTATGGATCTGTGAAGAGATATAAGAGGGGCTAGAATTGTTCAGTGCTTTATAGGTGGGAATTAGTACTTGAATTGACTCCTATAGGATACAGGAAGCTAAGCAGCCACTCCTCGTCAAACGTATCGTCACACATTTTAGAAAGCAGTAGTCGGCTTGCAATAAGCAGCGACAAGATTGTAAACGAGCCCCTAGTCGGTAAACCCCACATTAGCTGAATTCAATTTCTATAGCCATTTACTGTGCAATGAGCTAGGCAATGCTTCCATAGATGATGGTCTGTTTTCATTCCAGAAGCACACACAAGCTATCAACAAACGGAAGAGTGTGATCAATGAATTTAAAGGAATTTTTACGGTAAGTAGCAAGTGATTATTGTTCAATTTGTTTATTTGATCTACAACTTACTTTTATCTAGATATTTCTCTCTTAAAATAAATACAGTCAAATTTACAAACATCCGGAACTGTTATTTTTAGAAGCTATATATGATTGAACCCGGTTCTTGTGTATTTGCCCAGCGATGCGGTGGGTGAGGGATATTTATGGAAGAGGAGGAGCTCACATAACTACATCGTCACAACAGACGAAACCTGAGAGGAAAGGTTTAGTTCGGGTAGCCGTTGCCAGGTGGATAATGATTTTTTTTTTTCTGTTTTTTTCGGCTGTATAAATCCCACCAAGTGCAATGGGTCCCATTTATTACCGAACACATTTTCTTTTACTTAAAACGCAAGCTTGTTCCAGAATTTGTTGGTTCAAGGTTTACCCCATTTTATAAAACTGTAGCTCTAAAAATCCAAAAAGAAGAAAAAACAAGTTTTCATTTTTTATTCCCACTCAGATTCCTCTTTTAAAGGAAAGTTTAGGCAGAACTAACACCAAATATTAACTAAATGGCCAAATCAATACAACTGACAAGTTTAAAGGTATTCTAGAACTGAATTAACTCCGAGCACCATAACCACTACCACACTACACAAAGGCTGCTGACACAGAACATGTAACGTTTTGTAATCATCAAAAGTTTTAAAGACGTTTTACAGTTTTGTCTCACAAATGTTTTTGATGTATAATAAGGAAATCAAAACTTTCACCTATGGCATGCCACAAGTAGGGGTTGGGCCTTAGGTGATGAGAATCTTTTATTTTTTTTCTTTATTTCACAAAGTTTGGACAAAAACAGATGCTCTGACCCCATAGAGTCCTTGCACTCACTATAACTCCTAGAACGTGTTATAATAATCTAATACACTGTACATGTACAGTAAGATGTAATAATACCATACAATGTAATAATGTAAAATACTAGATGGACAGAATATTGTGTTAGCAATTGCCACGTTCATTTTTACTATATCTAGAACTGTAATAAAATGAAATAAATGAGTATGTGTTTCCATGATGTTTACTAACTCATTTCCAATTACACATAAACAGTCTTTAATTTCTCATATCCAACAATTAATGGAGTCTTTACTTTCTGGTCTCCTATGACTAATGGAAGCTATATATTTTACGCACATACTGCCTTACTGGTCTTGTAGGATACAATGAGGAAACCCAACCAAAGGAAAAGCTTTCGAAGGGCCAGCAAAAAGGTTGCTGAGAACGAGCTTGATGGCATCCTCCGGCGCCGGCGTAAGAAGGTGGATTGTGCAGAGACAGATGGGTCTGCAGAAACTACAGCCAAGCAAGAGAAGAAAGTAGAAGAACGTGCACCTGGAAACATGCACTTATGTAAGTTTTGTTTGAGTGTAATATCTGAAAAAGTGCATCGTAGGACAAAACATTCAGAAAAAGTTCAATACTCCCATCACATCAAAAGAGGATGAACACCTATTAACCTTTAAATAATGCCAAATAATTTGATAATTCACTCGTCAGTGGTGACTTGTGGTCAGTTGGTGAAGTTTAAAGAACCTCACTACCCACTTAGCCCCATGAGGTCCTATGCCCTATGATATCTCTTATCTTTATGGTGTGTCTGTAAGGAAGCAGTCCATCTTAACTCTTTTCCATGAATTATACAGCCATCATAAATAAAGCACCTGGACCCTTCCAACATTAATTCCACCACTGAAACCCATAATACATTCAGAGTTCCAAGGAACATGCTATAAGGTCAGAATACCCTGTATGGCTCTGTGAAATCAATTACATTTGTTTTTATAGTTTGGTGTGAGGTTGTAATTTGTTAAATGAGCAGCGGCCACTGTCAGAGGCATTCAGCTAGAAGTGAGGATGCTAGGGAGGCAGTAATTCCAGCAGTGATTGATTCAGTAGAAGTCTATTAGTCCCAGCAAGGCTATGACAGACCAATATATGCTTAGCATTGTGCAGATGCCATAGATGTTCTACATCTCCCTTAAACCATTTCCAGTCAAACACACAGCATGTAAATTACAAAGGTCCATGGGAGCTTAATGTGCAAAGAGCCATTGCAATCTATGATCTGTAGATAAGATTTCTTCCCAGGTATCGTTACCACCTGAGGACCATTGAAATTATAACATCTGTTTATTAGCTGCCAGTCACATCTGAGAGCATGTGGTCAATATGACGAATCCTCTTCACAGGAAAACACAGACTACATGACTAAATAGTTATTTATAATTATTAGCACAAACTGCTAAACATCTGAATATATATTTTGTTTCTCTGCAGCTGATTTAAAGTCAACATTGAATCCAGGATCTACGCAGAAAAATCCAATTGTGGTAAAATTGAGGCAGAAATCATCCAGCCTCCAGAAAAGTAGGAGAACTCTATTGGACTATGAGTAAGAACTAACTGGTCCGAAAAGCGTAAGGAGTTCTGCTGTATGTTCTTTCCCTCCTGTGCTGATTATTCAGGTGTCTACAAATAAATATTTTCCTTTTCTCGTGGTTGACGCTGGTTTTCGACGTTTCTGTGTATCAGTCTCTAGCTGAACTCTATTGGAGACGGACCACGTGGAGCAGTAAAAGCAGGACATTACAAGAGTGTTGATTTTTCAAAACACAATGTATCATTTACTTGGTCCTAAGGAAGAGATCTGGGTCTTCTAATTTCTATAGCCACTATTGCCCAGCTAGAGGACTGTATGTGTTAAGGTGTGTGCTCCAGTAGGATTGTTTGTGGCCCACCAAACACGCAGAACACAGCCATGATTTATATAGTGTTATGTTATTGGTCTTGAAGGATCTATTTAGCCAAGATGAACTGAGCAAATTGAATAATTGGACAATGCTGCTCTGCTTTCCAGAACCAGGAAAGGTTCTGTTTTCTTTGTATCTCGGGAGCTACATTCATGAATATGGAAAATTCATATTGGAAAACCTTAAATAAATGTAGACAAGAACACAAATGTTTTCATTGACTATGTGCCACTTACTTACATTATATAAAATGTACATATTGTGACTGGAGACGACACCTATAACTCCTATCTGGTTAATGGGGCACCAATGTATTTTGTGACACCAAACATATTGCGGGTGTATTCAAATTTACTGCAGTGGTTTATAAAAAACATCCATTATAACTTGCGTTTGATGACACGTCACCCATGTCTATAAAGGAAGGAAAGAGAATTCACTTTTGGAGATACTTAAGTGCCAGTTGAATGTACTAATATTGTCTGTTTTATCATGGTTTAGGGAGAATGTATTCATCCTTTAATCTGATGGCCGTATTTCCAGCTCTAGATGTATACACTGAGTAGATGTGATAGTTGTCCTTGCCAAGGTTGGCCCTAGAGGCAATGCGCCAACACTTCAAAGTATTCAGATTACAATTGCAGAAACTATTGAGTTTACAACACCGTCGCAGTGGTAAGGCAAGTAAACACGCAGTACTTAAACCAGCACCAAACGGAGGGTAGGATAGAAGGTGTATTATCGGACATTAAAGTGACTGACTTTAAAACAAGAACAGACAAGAGAATAGGTGATATGCTAGCCAAGGTCAAGGACATGAGAGGTATGTGTGAACATTAGACAGAGTTAAGTCAGTCGATGCAGAGAGCAGAAAGGTCAGGACAGGACAGGTCAAAATACCAAAGGTTACCACAGAGCAAGAAACATGCTATTGGGTACAGAGACCACAACAGAACATTGGCTACTGACCACAATGGAATTTTATAGGTTAACTTACATCATTATTAAGATGCATTGACACTGGATTGTAAATTGACAAGGAGATGGACCTTCCAGCATCAGAACTGAAGTCAGAATAGTGTGAGACTGAGCATAAGACCCTAAAATGATTATCTGCGAATGATGCAGGAGTGGCCAGGTACCATGACAAACACCAATCCTCCATTATACAATGAATGCAGCCTACGCGGAGCTTCTATGCCTGCTCAATGGTATAACATGTGTGACTGGACACGTCATGAGGAAGTCAGGTGCACGTGATGTACAATTACAGCACACTTTGGCCTCAATTTAATAAACTTTCCAAATGATTCACTATCATTAAAAAAAAACATTACGAATGATTTCTCTACAGAACTCACCATTTAAGTTTGAGGAAGAGGTTCTAATGGTCAATGTTCATGTTTACCTGTGGAAGATAATACAACACAGCCGCCTCAGGGAAACAAGCGGAGTAAAGAAAAACTCTGGGAAAAGGGACATCCTCCTTTCCTCTTTGAAATGCCACCACGAATGCGATACAATTTACGGTCCATGCCCACAATAACCACCTGCAGACAATACCTCGTTTCCATCCAGGTACTCTCTCACACTAAAACCCTGATAATAGAAAACACTCAGACACAGAGCTCTCCATAATGTTAGAGTCAAGACCACAACTAGATCCGATTCATCACAGATGCCCAGCCCAACGATTTCCATGACAGACTGTCCCTAAGTTGCAGCAAAACCACATATTTGGTCATATCTCCTCTACAGTCCTGATGACCAAAACCCTGCTTTGTTTCCGCACAGTTAGAAGTTTCATTAAATGTAATAAGCTTTTGAAAAATTAGAAGTGACAATTTGATTAAGTATTTAACCAAAACGTTTATCTGTCACAAGAAATGTTCTTTTTGAAAGTTAAAGCATTAATTATTGTATTAGAATGTATGAAATCGGTGCAACACGTTTTAAATACACGCACACTGACTGCTGAGTACACAGACTGCTGAGTACACACACACAAACACACAGAGAGACTGCTGAACACACACACAGACTGCTGAATATACACAGACTGCTGAATACACACACACACACACACACACAGACTGCTGAATACACAGAGACTACTGAATACACACACACATACTGGTGAATACACACAGACTGCTGAATACACACACATATACTGGTGAATACACACATACAGACTGCAGTGAGGGTTACAGTGTATGTGTGTGTGTGAGGGGTGCTGTGTGTGTTTGTGTGTGATGTGTACGAGGAGTGCTATGTGGGCGACCGGTGCTGTGTGGGCCCCACTGCCCTCAGCAATTTTTTTTCCCACTTAGGGCCAACCGGTGGGCTTGTATCAGCAGGTCCTTGCTTTTTGCCAGTATGGGAGGAAGTGACAGCCGCAAGTCACTCCCTCCCATAAAGAGAGGAGCTGCTCGGGAGGGGGCAGGAGGAGTCGTACAAAATGAAGGAGGCTGTGGCAGTAAGGATTAAGGCTCCTCACTCCCATCAGTCTCAGGCACCACATTGGACCCCAGGAAAGCCACCCTCCAGCAAAAGGTAGGAAACTGGGGGGTGGGTTTAAAATGGTACATTTTACATGTGTCTTAGTATGTCTCTGTGTATGTGCCTGTGTATCTGTATGTGAACCTAAATGTTGTTAGTGTGTGTATCTGTGTGTTTATTTGTATGTAGTCATTCTGTGTATCTGTGTATCTGAGCACCAACATTAAAGGACCGCTATAGGCACCCAGACCACTTCAGCTCAATGAAGTGGTCTGGGTGCCAGGTCCTTCTAGGGTTAACTAGGGTTAACCCTGCAGCTGTAAACATAGCAGTTTCAGAGAAACTGCTATGTTTACTTTAGGGTTAATCCAGCCTCTGGTGGCTGTCTCATTGACAGCCGCTAGAGGCGCTTCCGCGCTTCTCACTGTGATTTTCACAGTGAAAAGACGCCAGCGTCCATAGGAAAGCATTGAGAAATGCTTTCCTATGGACTGACTGAATGCGCGCGCGGCTCTTGCTGCGCATGCGCATTCAGCGGATGAAGTCGGAAGAGGAAGGAGAGTCCCCAGCGCCGAGGGAGCCCAGCGCTGGAGAAAGGTAAGTGTTTAACCCCTTCCTCCCCCTTCAGCCCAGCGGGAGTGGGACCCTGAGGGTGGGGGGGAACCTAAAGACCCTATAGTGCCAGGAAAACAAATTTGTTTTCCTGCCACTATAGTGATCCTTTAAATACAAATACACCCCTCCATTCAAACTTCAACATTACATACAAACACACTCCTGCATTGAAACGTCAAAACTACATAAAAACACACCTCTGTGTTAAACAATAAAATTATATATAAACAAATCCCTACATTAACCCCTTAAGGACTGGACTGTTTTTGCGATGTTGTACATTTGCGACCAGGCATATTTTTACACTTTTGTGGTGTTTGTGTTTGGCTGGAATTTTCCGCTCTCTCATTTACTGTTCCCATACAAATTATATATTGTTTTTTTCAGGACAAAAGGGGCTTTCTTTACATACCATTATTTATATAATCTCATGTATTTTAATTTAAAAAAAATAAAAAAATATGATGAAAAATTGAAAAAAAATACATGTTTTTTGACTTTTACTTGAAAAATCTTTTACTCATCTACAAAAGCGAATGAAAAAAACTGCTAAATAGATTCAAAATTTTGTCCTGAGTTTAAAAATACCTAGTGTTTACGTGCTTTTTTGCTTTTTTTTGCATGTTATAGGGCTATAGGTACAAGTAGGATATTGCGGTTTCAAAACATAAATTTTTAAAATTTATCAATAGTGACATTGTAACACTATTATCTGTCATAAATCTCTGAATAACATCCCACATGTACATATTTTTTTTAAAGTAGACAACCCAGGGTATTCAATATGGGGTATGTCCAGTCTTTTTTAGTAGCCACTTAGTCGAAAACACTGGCCAAAGTAAGCATTCATATTTGTTTGTGTGTGAAAAAGTAAAAAAACTAAATTGAACGCTAATTTTGGCCAGTGTTTGTGACCAAGTGGTTACTAAAAAAGACTGGACATACCCCATTTGCAATACCTTGGGTTGTCTTCTTTTGCAAATGGTATGCCATCATGGGGGTAATTCTCATTCCTGGGCTACCATACGCTCTCAAAGGCAACGTAACCAACCTGGCCATTTTCAATGTAAAAATATTTGACCCATATATTTGACCTTGTAACTTTCAAAAATACTATAAAACCTGTACATGGGGGGTACTGTTTTACTCAGGAGACTTTGTTGAACACAAATATTAGTGTTTAAAAACTGGAAAACGTATCACAACAATTATATCATCAGTAAAAGTGCTGTTTGTGTGTGAAAAATGCAAAAAGTCACTTTCACTGACAATATCATCGCTGTGATATGTTTTACTGTTTTGAATCACTAATATTTGTGTTCAGCGAAGTCTCCCGAGTAAAACAGTACCCCCAATGTACAGGTTTTAGGGTGTCGTAGAACGTTACAGGGTAAAATACAGTGCTAGCAAATTCAATTCTCTGGAATTTCGGCCTGGGTTGGCAGGCAGGTCCCTTAAATTGCAATCAATAAAATTACTGAATTATGTAAAACTATTACATAAATATGCACGTAGAATTTAAATATATATGCATATTTATATATCTGAAGTCTACGTGTATATTTATATAAATATTTATGTAAGTATATGGACATATGTATATTTCTTATTATTTTTATTTATTTTTATATACATAGATATATATACAAATTCATTCTAAGTGTATTTTGATATAAATATATATATATATTAATTTTAAAATACAGTTAGAATAAAATTTCATATAGATATATAATTTTTTTAATTTTTTTATTATTATTTTAAATTTTTTTTATTTAATTTAAATTACTTATTATTTATATTTTATAATAATATATATATACAATATATATAGTTATTATATATATTATATATATACGTGTGTAATTTAATTATAAGTGTATTTTTATATTAATATAAGTACATATTAATATAAAAATACACTTAGTATGGCATTATATAGATGATATATAGACATATATTATATAGATATATTATATGTCTATATATCATATATACACCTATATAATTATTATTTTTTTTATTACCATTAACTTTATTTTTATTTTTGATTTTACACTAGCAGGGAGACTGCCTGTCAGCACAGACAGTCCCCCTGCAGGCAGCACTATGGACACCTATTGTGACCATGTGATCGCTGTGTTAAGCGATCACATGGCCCCAGGGGTCCTAAATCAGTGTGGGGAGACTGTCTGGGCTGCAGGCAGTCTCCCCACAACCGGAGGAACACTGATCGCCACCGGGGGAACGACGGCGATCAGGTAAGTACCCCCAGACCGTTAGGACGGTTCAGGACCGTCATCGGTCCTCAAGGCAAAAATGCCGATGACGGTCCTGAACCGTCCTTGGTCGCTAAGGGGTTAAAAAACAAACACTACACATAAATGCACACTTGCATTCAAACTCCAATACCACATACATCCGCATTGACACAAACACACTCCATACAAACACATGCTTATATTCAAACACACAAACACAGCTCAGTGCTAAATTAAATCCTGCAAACACAGGACATTGGTAGAGCCCCAGCTATTGTTAAAAGATAAAGATAGAGGAGTGCAGGTAAAAATATGTATATAATATACTTATAAATACTTGGTTGTCCTTTAGATGTTACCTATATACAGAAAAGGATAAACATAGCATAATACTGTTGGACTAAAAAATTGTCAATAAGTAAATATTGGTTCCACTCACACTTTGCAGAGCCACATATAGTGATACCGGAGAAACTGACGGAAGCAAAGCACAGAGAGATGGACACAGGTTTCTTCAGGAAGGAAGAGATTCTTTATTGGATCACCGATCGGGACTCAGAGGGACTAATGTCACCAAAAATACAGCAAGTTCTGAGCCCTGAACAATAGTGCAGGCTCTCTATATAGGCACATAACTCCTCCCATATTAAGCTCCACCCGCACATTCTCTTGACCAATCATTACAAATAAGAATTAACTTCCTGCTTGACCGCATGGCTTGTCCAGCACAATGGAGGAGGGGAATACTACATCCTGTATTCTTGCACATGCTCCGTACACTACTGATCGTATCTTGCCTCGTGCAACCAACTGATCGATACGTCAGCATATGCACGTACACATGCCACGTGGTAATCTCGGCCTACTAAATTTATTTTTACCGAGATTCCACCACATTCCCCCCTTTGATGCCTCTTGATATTTTACAATTACTTGAGGCATCACTTAACCTTGGTTTGCATACACCACAAGTTACCTTTGAACCAGACCAGACTTATCCTATGATGTGAATCTTCAACACTCGCCTTCCTGCATTGGTTCTCCCTGATCTAGAGCCTTATATTTATAAATTGCCATTATCTGTGCAGCAGCCTTCCTCTCTGCTATATTTTCTATCAGGCTTTGCACAGACCTAACTACTAAGGGTATAAGACACGGCAGGAGTAGACACAACATTAAAATCAGTAGGACTCCACCTACCACTGCCTTAAGCCCTCCAAACCACTCATACCAGCTACCAAACCAACTACTTGGATTGTACCCTTTCCATACCTGAGTAGGCACATGCGCTAGTTTAACCATATGGCTAGTAAGCTCAGCTATTGCTTGCCCTTCGTCATCTATTTGAAGACAGCAATTGCTCAGGTTAAACTTCCCACATACACCTCCCTCTACTGCCAAAAGATAATCCAAGGCTAATCTATTTTGGTAAACTGCTGTCCTCATCCTGGTATTATGCTTCGCTAGAAGATTGAGCGCTTGTGATGTCTCGTTAGTAATGATCTCAACCACCGCCTGTAACCTTATAATGCGGTTGAGCATATAAATAGGGGTTCTATAACCAAAGGTACCATCCTCTGCCCACGTGGCTGGCCCATAATAATCTATAATACGCTGGGGAGGCCATTCATTATCTTCCCAGGCACCTATCTCTATGGGTCCCCTTTTCTTCCTATGATTCACATCATACACTTTAACACCTAAAGTCTCACCTGTTTCAATAGGCAACAAGAAGAAGGATGGTTTTAACATACCCAACACACATGCCCCTTCCCAGTCCTGTGGTAACTCCGAATAGGCCTTCTTACCACAGATCCAGTACAAATTCGCTGGGGCTCTCCAGTTAGATGTGATGGATAGATCAAACCATACGTCCTTTAAATTGGCATATCTTGCAAACGGGTTAGATGGTTCTGAGACATTTGAAGCCGACCACCAAGTTGTATTCTTTGTATCATCATCATAAGCTTTTGCCCTAGACAAGTTAATTCTCCTACAGAAGTATTATACATCATTCCTTTCCTCGCTATGCAAACATAACCTATGATGGAGGTCTTCAATCTCCACTCAGATTTACCTCTAACACTCAAATGATAGTCGGCTTGTGTAGATATTAATTGGTCAACTGCCTCAGAACCGGACATTACCTCCTTTGCTTCCCAAGGCCATTGGTCTCCCATGTTAGTACCTCCACACACATAGCAGTTGGTAACATTAAGACTACCGGCAATACTCTCGGCTAAATCAATGAACAAGTTTTAGCATTATGGGGGATCTTATTATCTATGCTCATCTCTTCATAAAAGGAATGGTATACTTGATGAGTTTGGGAGGTTACCGTATCAGTCTCTATCCCTATAAACAATATTGTCCCAGGGTCTAAACCCGTCCCATATATTTGAAACCCAAATAAATTACTATATTTATCTAAGAACTTGTCAGGGTTATTTATAAGTATATGGATTGGATTGCATTCCATAGACTTACAATATGGATCAGTAGGCAACTTAGTCACAATCATGTCCTCGTCTGCTGTCTGTCCCCAAGTCGCCCACCCCACACAAGACCAATATGGGCAGAAGTTATAATCTCTATTTGGGCATCTTGGACTTACATATTTATTTTACTACTGGGACAAATATATTTATCGTTAGACCCATACGTCCTCTCCCATCTAAGATCCCCACATACATTCCACGGCTTTCTACCACTTGATATTGCTTTACACGCATCAAATAGCAGAGCACCTGAAGAATATACGGATTCTAATACCGCCTTATTAATTAGGGTCCCCTGAGGATCTCCATTTCTGAGAGTCAACCAAATTGTACGGGGTTGATACTCAGGACTGAAGCACTTAGGTTCTCCTACTCCAAAATGACACACACTATATTCTATATTTAAGTATCTACATCTTGATACATCTCCTTTACACTCATATTGCGAATGCCAAATTAGGGTCTGGGATATATGGTTACCTGTTCTTGTAGTCTTACTGCATACCTCACAGCTAGGAGTGTCGGTACCTCTACCTTCCTGAATATAAAAATACACATAAATAAACATTATTAAAAATACATCTT